GAGATATGTGTAGGTCAGTAAGGGCACCTATATATGTTAGTGTAGCAACTACCTGGGCAATCTAGCTAAAAAATTTCCTTGAACTTTGATCTGTATTGCTGACTATTGCTAGCAGTAATTTTAAGTTTTTAAACCTTCTGTGTACATCAAATAAAACCTTTGATTTTTATTTCTCTAAATGTCATAAAGCTGTTGCCTCAAATATTAATGAATTGCATATTCCAATATTAACATGTGGTTTAATCAACAGAGCATAACACTGCAATTTTCACATTGTAAATACATATCTTAGTTTGTTTGAAGATTAATTATTGCAATAAATCAATAAAATCTACTTATTAATATAGTCATATTAGTAAGATATCACACAGTAAAATTTGTAAATAAAAATTATTTTAGCTACTTCTCAAGCATCTATCTGAAAAGCTAGTTAATAATTATTTTTATATAATTGTAATTTATATATATATAATTATTTCATAATTATTTTAATAATCCATCACTCTATGTGTTTTATTATTTTATTAGTTTTGATGTATTTGTTGAGTAATTAACCATTATGTGCCTGTTCTAGTTATGTATTCTCCTCTGTTTTTCTATTTGATCTCTTTTTTTCTCTAATTATCTGGATAAAATTCATAATCTGTGCTTCACCATTTGGAACTGAATTCCAAAAGAACATGAAGAGAACTTCAATTCCAAAATAGCTAATTCACAAATGAAAATAAAATCTCAGTATCTCAATGAAGATAAACAATTTTGAGGTTCAATCCTTGTATCTCAAATAATCAGCCTAATGAAGAACATGTTCTTCACTGCCAGCCAGACATGCCAATGACACATTAAATAGCATTACAGTAAACATCTGAAGTTGTGGCATTCACATTCTCTCAACAGAGAGAGAAATAATTCTCACTCTCAGGGTTTTTCCTGGAGAAGCACAGAGAGAAGAAGAGAAAACAATTCTTATCTCTACCTGCTGCTACTGTTGTTTTTGCACATGTGGAATGTGTTATGGAGATTGTTTACTGAGAGTGAGTTCTTAATTGGATTCTGTTGATGGTTGTTTATATTAATTGGCCTATTAGGTCCAAGCTGTGTCCTGGCTGTCTCAGACAGTCACATGTTTTCCTTTAGTATTCTTTTAGTATCTCTTTAGTATAGTATCTCTTTCATATAGTATAGTATTACTGTAATATAATATAGTTTTAATAAAGCAATTGTTCAGCATTCTGAATGAATGGAGTCAGATGGCAATCATTCCCAGACACTGGGGTCACCCTGAATTCGATATGAAGTATTAAGTATTTTTTAAAAATTAATTACTATCAATAAAATCTCTTTAAATTCTGAAAATCTAAAATTATTCCTATTGAATAGATTCTCTGATTTAAAGGAGAATTATTTAGCAATGTCCTTCAGTGAGAATATTCATAAATAAAAAGAAAAAAATGTTTCCAAGTACTTTCCTGGATCACTGGGCAAAATTCCAAAGACATTAACATTTGTGTGGAATACTAAAAATATGTCAAACATACTAATACAATGAAATACATGAATAAGATATAGTAAGAAAAAAATAACATGCAACACCTAATTTTCCATTTTTGTATAACTAAACACCCTCTCCTGCATTTTCTAGTTAATGGAAATAATGAGTTTATTAATCTTTGAAACAGGATTAATTTAATACAAAATTACATTTGAACTAATCATGGATTCATATAAAACAGTCTTCAAGAGAGATTATGTAGAACTCTGTCCAATTTCCCTTTGAAAGGCAACAGAAATGGTTTTTCATCACATTTCCTACAATTTGCTTATGGTGCATTTCAGCAGAGGGCAGTGCTTACCTCGGGGACTCACAAAAATATTTCTGAATCTTATTTTTTTCTTTCACTAAGAACAGGGAGAGAAAAGAGACTCAGACTCACACCAGAAAATGCCAAGAAGTCTGTTCAGCTCTGTGATTATCAGGTGCGCCAAGAAGATGCTCAAAGGGCTGGAGCACCTCTCCTATGATGACAGGCTTTGGGAGTTGGGGTTGTTCAGCCTGGAGAAGAGAAAACTCAGGGGCAACCTTCCAGACCCTAAAGGGGCTACTAGAGAGTTGAAGAGAATGTAGTGATAGTTCAAGGGAGAACAGTTTTAAACTCAAGAAGAGGAGGTTTGGAGTAGAAATTAGGAAGAAATGCCTTACTGTGGAGATGGTGAGGCACTGGAGCAGGTTTCCAGAGAAACTGAAGATGTCCCATCCCTGAAGTGTTCAAGGCCAGGCTGGATGGGACTTTGAGCAACCTGGTGTAATGGAAGGTGTTCCTGCCCATGGCAGGGGTGTTGGAAGTAGATGATCTTCAAGATCCCTTCCAAATAAGCCATTTTCTCACTCTATGAATCTAAAAAATTCTGTTGAATCAGAAAACTGCAACCACATGTTTCATTTCCTTTCACTGTTTATTGTATTTATATCTTGAAAATTGAAGTCCCAGCCAAAGAACAGCAAGTGGTACACCTTTGTGAACTTCAACCAAAATACTCCTTTATCTTTGCTTCCCTGTTTCTCTCCACTCAGGAGATCTGACTGCTCCTTTCATGTTATGCACATTGACAACCTGATTAGCCACCAGGAAAAGAAAATTAAATTGCCTCTCTGATACACAATACAGAAACTATATTAATCTCTGAATCAACATTTTCTGCATTCTCCACACCAGTAGACTATTTCTAAAAATAAACTTAAGTTTCAAGGAAAAGAAATTATTTTCAATTTTCCACACTATTGTATTACCTACTACAAAAGCAGAATTTTTCTTGGCACTGATTCTGAATTATTTATTCTATCCATACCCTTAGTCAGAACTAATGTGTGATAGTAGCAGCTTGAATAATTGCGGAGAAAAACAAATTCTAGTATCAGAAACGAAAAACAGAGAGCCAGTTTGTTGTTGTTCAGTTGTTGCTGACAGAGTAGCTAATTGTTTGGCTTGCCCAGAAGTAATCACCTTTTAACACTGCTGAAGTTCATGGCTCAAGAAACAAAACTCCCCATTTGGTACAATCAGGACTGGCTAACTCCATAAACATCTCAGGAGGGAAGATGATGGGTAGCAGGCAGAACACACTGGCCTCCTTTCCTAAACTTCTCAGATTTTGTAGCCTTCTCTCCCATGAATTAACCCCAATGGATTTTGGGTTTTAAACACCTGTCAGCCATACTGATGTACAATTACGCTTAAGCTTCAGTTTTGTAAAAGAAAGGTTTTCTGAGGGTGTGCTGACTGTGTGTACCTCCTCACATCCTGCAAGGGTGAACTAGCAGACATTCTAAAATGGCAGAAAGTTAAAAAAAAACAGAGAAAAAGTCTGAAAAGCAAGAACTGCCATTGTGAAACAAACAAAATAAAAAACTGAAAGAAAATTTTTGAAAGCATTTGTTAGAGTTAAAATTTAAAAAATAAAATAAACCACAATAAGACAAACAAACAGAAAAAACCAGAAAAAAGCGGTTCAACACCAAAAAAAGTAAGAAACATATTTGCTTCTGCCCCTTAATGCCAGATGCATATAGAGCAAGCTAAAAGAATGACTCAATAACATTTGACAGGCTTCCATTGTATTATGTTAACAAGGCTGGGTAAACTTGAACCCAGAGTGGATTAAGAATACCCAAGCCTCACTAATGAATGTGTTTTGAATAGAAGGGCTGGAGCACCTCTCATTTAACCTGAGTGACATTTAGGGCATCCTTTACAGAGAGAGAAGATGTAGGCATGATTTTCTAAAAGAAATGAGTTCTTCACCCTTAACCTCCTGTTTTTTGGACAACTACCCATAATCACTACATTACTATTTTACTAGCTTAATATATTGTAACAAGCTTAATATGTTATATACCTTCTTGCTTAAAGCATTTCCTTCAAATTGCAAACCCACAATGTTCAAATAAAGAGAACTTTATCTCAACCATTATTTCATAAAAATGCAAAGACATAATTCTGATAAAAGAAGAAATAATAAATCTTCCATTCTCTGAGGAGCTTTGTCAACAGCCCACCTCATCTGATAGAACCACTTCTTATCTCTACTGCCTGACACATTCTTCTAACCCTATTCTCATCATAGTAACAGGCTGTGGTAGTAGCAATTATGCTTAATGCTTCTACTGAATTCCCATGTACAGGAAAAGGAGCAGCACTATGTATTTCTCTCTCATTCCTCATCTCTGTTGTGTTACACTGACAGTTCTGGACCACTTCTTAGTTTTTACAAACAATTCTTAATGGTAGTAGCTTACCATTTTCTGAGGAGTAGCTTTCTGGAAGTTTAATTTTTTTTTCTGAGCAATAATAACACATGCAGCAGGAGGGCAGTTCACCAATACACAATAGATCTAACTATTACGGAGACTGTCTGTAAGAGAGTCAGCTTGATGGTATTAATCAACACCAAGAAAAGGATTGCAAGATCATGCAGCTGCACTTTATCTTGACCTAGAGAGATCACCTTCAAGTAATAAAAGCAAGTTTAGTTCCTTTGCCCATGTAATTTCTGCCCTGCTGATAAGACTGCCAAAGCCCATGTCATTTATGGTTGCTACAGATGTTATTCTGAGATACTGCTCATAAACAGGCAACAGGGGTAACAATTGTTATCTATAAGGCCTTGCACTACAGACCAGCAAAGCACTGCACATCAAGTGAATGTGAACTGGCTTTGTCCTCATATGGTCAGTCTGATAAATGAAGCAAATCTGTAAAACCTGACCACTATTCAATAAATTATTTTGCTTCAGGTTAGACCAAGCATTATGCCAAATTTGATTTCAAAATGGAATTAAATAACTGGAAAAGTTTTAATAATCAAATAAATTATAAACCTGGTTAATAGCACTGTCCTTATAGTAAAAAAGAGTAAATTCATTTGAAACAAGATCAGAGACAGAACAGTTTGGACATAAGATATTTTGTACACCAATAAAAAATCAAAATGGAATGACTTACCACTTCTTCATGGGTAGCACTTTCTACATTTATACCATTAACCTAAAAACAGATACAATAGGGAGAAAATTATTTGTAACACAAAGTTAGTTACCAAAATAAAAGCAATAAGAAACAAATGTCTGTGGAAAAAAGTGAATGTTTACTGACCTGTATAATTGCATCTCCTATAAATAACATTCCTGTCTGTTCAGCTGTGGGATTATAGAAGGAGTGAATTTTAATTGATAGTAGTACTGAAAAAATGCTATATTCTCTTCCAGCAATTGTTTTAAAACACTCTTCATAATTCTCATTTGAAACTGATTTGGTTGTGAAAATACCAATGGCACAGCAATCAGTATTCATCCAAAATGTTAATAGACTGCCAGCAATTTTAAACACATTAAGAGAGCTACTTTCCAAGCATAAAGAACTTGTTTAGTATGGAATACAAATGTCAATTCTCACTAATGAAGGATTTCAATAAATTATGTGGAAAATGTGATTCACACTTTTCATTATTCTTCCACAAAAGGGAAACAGGGACTGCTATAATTAAAGAGGTTGTGACTAGAATTTAATACAATTCTAACTTGAAGTTTGAGTTAGTTTTGTCCTAAAGAATAACATTATTTTGATCTACAATTTGCATATTTCCTGCCTTACAGAATTAATGGGGATAATGTCATGTTGAAATTTCAATCAACTCTCCATAGATACAAACAATGACATTGTTTTGAGGTCTATTCACTAACTTTCTAAATTTTAACTTTTTTTTTGGTTGGAATTTGAAGATGTTTATCTCATGAAATGCATAAATTAATTAAAATTAAGACTCTTATCCTTAAAAGACTGATAGTATTAAAGAAAGCCTATTAGTCTCATATATGACCTTTAAGGTCACACCTTGAGGGTTAGAAGAATGCCATCAACGTTAACAAAGAGAGTACTATGAGAAAAGAAAATAGAAGTACAAAAGAAGGGATTGAATAGAATATTCTTGATTTCTGCAATTTAGCTGTTGCTACTGCAAATGTGTCTTTGTTACAAAATAGCACTTTTTAAAAAATAAATTGTTCATCACTCTTTTGGGAGATTAAAACTACAGTTCATTAGTTAATACTTAGGAAATATTTCTCTATTTATTTTAAAAATCATATTACAAGTTGCATTGGAGGTCATTACCCCACTTCTCATCCTACTTTTTATTTAAAATCATGCATATAATTTTTATTAGCTTGCATAGAAAAGACATCTATGTACAGAAATTTAAGGGAATTAAAGCAGTTCAAAACTGTCACAAAGCAATCAGAAGTAATCTGTTCTGGGTACATATGTTGGTAGAGGTGATGAACATTAGTGTGGGAATCTCAATACTAAACTTCTATTTGAGATGTTAGTAATACATACACCAATAGTGAAAAATGTGAACAATTTTTAATTCAGGGCTTATGTTAGGGCCATTGAACTGTTTTAAACAAGTGGAAGCATCTTTGAATTGGAGATAGAAGGAAGAGGGTAAGTTTGAAATTCCAGTTGAGGCAAAGAAGAAAGGGATGAATTCAAAGAATGCATGCCTTGTCCACAGTGTCTGATAGACTCAGAAGTGAGTGGAGAAATTTTAAGCATTCTTTGTATCAGCAAGCTGCCATGGTTTAACCTTAGCTGGCAACTATTTACCATGCAGCCATTTGCTCAACCCTCCTTTCCAACCCCATTCTTCTACCCCATGCTAGCCCCCAGGGATGGGGACAAGACTTGAAAAAAAACCATAAAAACTTGTGGGTTGAGACGAGAACAGTTTAATTCTTGAAGTATAATATAATAATAGTAATGGAAAGGAGACAGTGTGCAATAAAACATAAGAGAAACAAGGGATACACAATACAATTCCTCATCCCCTGCTGACTGATGCTGAGCCCATTCCTAAGCAGCAACTGGCAGCTCCCAGACAATTCCCCACAGTTTATATGCCAAGGATGATGTTCTATGGGATGGAATATTTCTTTGCCATGGAATATATTTTTGGCCAGTTTGGGTCACCTCTCCTGGCCGTGCTTGCTCCCAACTTCTTGTGCACTTCTTTGCAGGCAGAGCATGGGACAGGAAAAAGTCTTTGATTTAGGGAAAGCACGACTTAGATAGAACTAAAATATCAGTGTGTTATCAACGTCATCCCCATACTCAATCAAAAACATAGCACTGTACCAGCTACTAAGAAGAAAATTAATCCTATCCCAGCTGAAAACCAGGACACAAAAGTCATGTGTGAAGAGGCAGAACAGAAAGAGGTCATTAATCAAAGCAGTTGATGATGAGGCTCCTTATATCCATACGGTAAATTTCAGGGATTTTAAACGAGATCAGACTGGTCCTCCAGTCTAAGTGATCTCAAGTGAAGAGAAGCTGACCAAGGAAAATTAGTACAAAAAAACTTTCTGTTTCGTGGACCTCTAAGCAGACTATCCTAGGGCACACCAGTGACACACAGTGATGCACTTCTGCTGCCAGTAATAGCTGCAAGAAGCCCCAGCAGGCAGAAGCAGACTTTGGTGACAAGCACTGCAACAGTCCCTGAAACTGGAATCAGTGTAGATAGAACCTGGACAGCAACCAAACAAGGTGAAACACAGGGACAGTGCGTCCTCAGCCTCCTTGAGGAGGAAAACCCTAGCAAGCCAATCCTCAGATATTACTCTGTCTGTGCAGGGGTCAGAGTCGGATTCAGGCTCCAAGCCCTGCAGCAAGGCAGATGTGTTTTTTTGCTCTCCAACAAGTACCAGTCAGCTGATCTATAGGCCACAGATGTGATGAGTACAGCACATGTGGGCAGCAGCAGTGCTGCTTTCCTGAGGCCCTGTGCTGTTGGCTCTGCTGGGCAGTCAAAGATGTTGCTTTTGGGAAGATCCACTGGAAACAGCAATATAGGAAAAAGCACAGTAAATAAAGAAATGTGGAAATGTAATTTGGAAAAAAATTTCTGTAAGAGGTGGCAACAGAAAAATGTAGGGCAAGAAAGCAAATCATACTGAACCAGAAAATGTTTGTGTGAAATCTAAGATCCTGATGGAAGAGTGCATGATGAAGATATGTGGGCATGTAGGTAGGTATTACCATTTTCCTGGATGTTCATCTATTTGTGATACACTGCATAATGACACAACAGCACAGTTGTGCAGTATTGTCTAAGTCTTTTGAAAAAACTTCTTCATCGTAACAAAAGTATAGGAAAATACTTAGACTAGTATTCATGCAAAAAAGGAAAGACTAAATTCTAGACACAGCTAAAATTCTTGAAATAACACTATTTAACAGCTCAAGGCTTAAAAAGGAAAAGCAGTGATATGAATAGGAATAAAACCTCAAGGAAGAAAACTGGGTAAATGGAGGATTGTAACTTCGCTCCCTTGTCTTCTTTGGAGCAGTGGAGGCTGAACCTTTCCCCCAGGACTGTTGGCTGCCAGATCAGGAAAGACCCATTGCTCATTCCACAAGGATGATGAATACTGCAATATCCCCAGCCACCTCGTGTGTGTTAGCCAATAAATTTTATAGTTTAGGAGCACAAAGCAATTATATCCTGCTCGCAGAATCTTGAAAAACAATCAAGGCTGTCCACATAAGCAAATGAGAGGAGCATTATATGGTCAATACCAAACTCTATGAAATGAAACAAGTATAGCCTTTGGGACAATCAGAGATTTTTTTCTAGAAGTGGATTATGCTGCATATTAAACCAATAAGTGGGACTCCTGCTGCTTGCTGACATGTCTATGATGAAAGTCTTTGGGTTTAGGCAATGGTCTATAATTTAAAATCAATGATGGTTACTCAAAAATACGTTTGTCATACATGAAATTGTAGAGGGTGTGTCACTACAATGCAGAATTTACAATATAGTTTAGAAATATATTAGAAATAAAGTGACTGGAAAAACTATTTGGACACAAAAAGTCAGTCCTGCTTCTATAAGGCATATTTTAAACCTGAAGACATCTATTGATGTTTCCATGAAATCACATTCTCCCTTCATGACAAAAATATTAAGTAAAGTCTTCCACACTTTATCAAAGTTTCTCCCACTGGCAACATTCTCAAATGCAAAGGTGCTTATGAAAGGCTACTCTAAAAGTATCAGTCATTATGTGTAAAATGAAGCAACACTAAAACCAAAATACTTCAAAAAAAAACTTTGCACTACCACAGAACATATAACCTTATTCACTGAAAAAGTAAATGCGACTTTTTCAGATTCCAGTTTGCCTCTTGAAGTTTTACTTGAAAAATAATGCTACATCACCTTTACTCTTCATCCTAAGTAGCTTTAAATAGGTTTAATGCTGATTAAATGCTGTACCTTGATTAAATTCAAACGTAATACTGAACAAAGGAAAGCAGGATGGAAACCTAAAAGGGCTGACGCTGAAGTAATGGTATGAAAATAATCACTAAAAAATCTAAAATCTTATTTTTGTGTATATTAGATTTGAAAAATTTTCCCAAATAGAAATGATCCATCATTCTAATCTCTAAAAAACCCAGCCTCTAACAGTGCCATGAACTGTTAAAATTCTTTTGCACTCAGTGAGAAGGGAAAAGAACCAGTAATTCTGGCTTTGCTTTGCTTACTTTTCCTATCCACTAAGACTGAACAAAGCCTGTATCAAATTTTCCAAAATTTCCAAGGTAGTGAAATGGTAAATTTACTGAACAGTCTCTGGAAATACTTACTTACAACTACTTAATTGATCAACATCTCTATGTAGATTTGAGTCTCTAGATAATCTGATGTCCTTATTTTTTTCAAGATTAGTCACAGTACATATTTTCACTCAATTTTTGTTGAATTCCTGAATCACACAAGAAACATTCAAGGTACTATGTCTTATGACAAAAAAAGCACACGGTGAGCTGCACTGACTTTATGGATTTCTCAATTCACAAGCTTAACATTAAACATGTGCATAAGTATTTAAATGCATGAAGAAAATCCAAATAGTTAAGAAACTGGATGAAATTAAGAGATTGGAAAAATTAGTATTAAGGATGCAAAAGACAACTTCAATATATCCAGATATACTTTTCTCCTCCTCTTCCATGAACTGAACATAATTACACTTCTGACTGTAAAGATACACCAGTTGCAAGCAAGATCTTTAATCTATGATTTCAAACACAACTATATCAACTCAATTATTGACAGACATTGGAC